GTATTTGTACTCACTGAATTTGTGCGCCCCTTGAGGGACTTGAAGTATGGGGAGGGGTAGAAATAGCCTACTCTATCCTTTTGAGATGTATTTTTTCTTGTCTCAATAAACATACTTGAACTTGGAAGAACATTATGTATTAAAGTGTCAACTTATGGATAACCATAGAAATAAGGAAATAAGTAGTGTACCACTTCAAATTGTTTGGATGTGTGATAATGATATGATAGACAGAATACTTAGGAACTACAAGAATTTTGCCTCAATGATTGTAACACTTACTATATTAATCTGCAATGTTAAATGTTGTATTGTGATTTGTGTATCTGTACTCACTGAATTTGTGCGCCCCTTGAGGGACTTGAAGTAGAGGGGGGGTAGAAATAGCCTAAGCTACTCTATCCTTTTGAGATGTATTTTTTCTTGTCTCAATAAACATACTTGAACTTGAATTGAACTTGGCCTTAAGTAAACAATGAACATAACAATTATTGTCATTGACAATAAGCAATGAAAATTAAACAATAAATTACATACTACCAACCTTAACGCAAGCTCGACCCGGCTGACCCGACGATCAGGACACCAATGGTCGAGTAAGCGTCCAGACATTAGCTCCTCCTCCGTTACAGGGGCTACGAAAGCTTGACATTTTACCACAGGTGCCGCATTGTATGTGTCTTGTCTAGCATTTGACCGATTTGATGTTAGAGTTTGGACATTAGTATTTCTTTCTCTTATCAAACTTCCCGTAGTATATATATGGGTATTACTGTATTCATGGTTCTATTCTTCTGATTTTATTCGCTTGGTTCCTTAGATTGCCCAGCATTTCATATCTTTGTTAAAATATTCCTTCTTGTTTAGTGAATTTTTACAGTTTTAGGTAGAATTTGCAATTATCAAAGCGACATTTACCTCTCTCTAGGATAGTTCTGTAGTTTTTTGGGGTGTTTAAATTTAATTGTTCCATTAGCTGTTCCTGATAGGCAATACTTGCATACACCCACATGCATAATATTTGTAGATTCCCAATTCATGTTTTGTTGGATTGTGTTGCTTTATCCGGGTACAAGGGGATACCCGACAGGAAGTAGTTCTTCACCCACTATGGCAGAACGCTTCTAAACAGATGTCAGAAGCCTAGTATATAAATCTGACACATCGTGTGCAAACAACCCAATAGTTAAAGAGTGTCACATCTGTGAAACAGAAGCAGAGGCGCCACTATTGCACTACTTACTGGAATGTGAAGCTACTGAACCCCTGCGCATCAAACTCAACATTAATCCAACGACAGCAACTGCATTAGATGCACATTCCACCGCGACTACAATGATTAGAAAAGCCGTTGAGGAATGGGACTCACTAGTGAGCATTCTGCATCTACATCCGCCACCAAGATAATGTTAATAAAACAAGGCTAAAACCAGTGCACTAAAACAAGCGATAAATAAACAGGGAAAAAGGAGGAATCCCCTCCTCCATTTTAAACTTAGACCCAAATATCACAGAAACAAGGTTATCGCGAATAACCGAACTCAATTACGGGCTCACCATAGCCCGTGCTACATGGACACTTCGTTCTGAGTAGCTAAATCTGAAACAACAACAGTGTGCAAACACAGACTGAGAATTCCGACATCACTGTCAAGCAGTGATGACATCACTGTCAAGCAGTGATGTGGAGGTCTCCCCTCCCCTTCAATGGTTTCAAGCTCAACAAGTTCAGTTTGAAACCGATAATTATTAAATTATTAAGCTATAATTAATGCAGGACAAAATAGATGCTTTTTCACCTTTGGGGTTATAAAGCAATGAAACCTTACCCGCCTCAGCAGTAAATGCCAAAAACGCTGCTGAATTTCAAAATCCAGCTTGATAAAATCATGAGAACAAATGGTGGGTACGTCACATAAGCCACCTACTTGTCAAATGAATCAAGATAATATTTTATCATAGTACACCCTAAACGTAATTCAATAGGGTTGTGATCATTTTCTATAAGCAGTAAGAGCTGCAGCCATGCTGGTGGTGTCGGGTACTAAGATGTTCTGACACCACATAGCTGAATACGGTCATCACTGCCAAAGTGGCATTCATGGATAGGCATGGTATCCATAGTGAGTAACAGGACCGTACAGTGGAACCTCAAGGTCATGGTATTTGAATCTATTTACATAGTCAAGCTGGGAGCCATCATAGAGTTGCATCTTGAGAACAACTCCTCCCTGCCTGGATGGACGCCGATTTATTATCTCTATTTTCTCTGCTGAGATGACTAAACCTAGGTCCTGACATGAGTCTAATACAGAGTTAAGAGTGTTCTGCATGTTAGCATATCCAGTGGTTTGTATCATTATATCATCAGCATACCTAATGATGTGCACGTTGGGTTTTCTAGGCACAAAGTTTTACAGTGTATTTATTAAAATATTAAATAAGGTAGGGTTAAGGACAAGACTATGAAATAGATTCAAATACCATGGCCTTGAGGTTCCACTGTACGGTCCTGTTATTCACTATGGATACCATGCCTATCCATGAATGCCACTTTGGCAGTGATGACCGTATTCAGCTATATGGTGTCAGAACACCTTAGTTCCCGATGCTCTTATTGCTTATAGAAAATGATCATATCCCTGATGAATTACGTTTAAGGTGTACTATAAAATATTTTAGTCTCCGTGGTGTAGTGGTAAGACGCTCGCCTGGCATTCTGCAAGGGCTTTGTCCTGGGTTCGTATCCTGGCCGGGGAGGATTTACTGGGTGCAAATCCTTAACTGTAGCCTCTGTTTAACTCAACAGTAAAATGGGTACCTAGTTGTTAAAACAATTCTTCACGGGGGTCGTATTTCAGGGAACATAAGATTAAGGACTTGCCCGAAACGCTCCGCGTTCTAGTAGCTGTACAAGCATGTAGCAACTCTTGTTAATATTTATAATAAAATTATCTTGGTTCTTTTTACAAACAGGTGGCATATGTGAGGTCCCCCCCTCCCCCCCAACCATTTGTTCTGACGATTTTATCGAGCTGGATTTTGAAATTCAGCAGCGTTTTTGGCATTTACTGCCGAGGCGGGTAGGAGGTTCAATTGCTTTACAACTCCAAAGGTGAAAAAGCTTCTATTTTCTGTCCTGCATTAATTATAGCTTAACCTGAACCCCTGGGTGAAGTGGGACGTGCGAATATGAGTTCCGGAGGTCGAGACACCATCCAACACCCTGGCTCCAACAGGAGACAGACCTGGGACAGAGTGGTCAACCGAAAGTAGGGAATCCAGAGGTTCAGACGGGACAAGTCCAGAATGAACCGAAGATCCGCACAGTCCAGTTTTGGGACTGGAAACCTACCCGAGGGTTAAGGTCGTTTTGACCTCCCCCAAGCACACCCACTCCAAGATGACCTAAGTGAAGGGGAAGAAGCCTGCCCTGCTAGCCCCGAACACCCCTAAGGAGGAGCTGCCCAATGCCACCATAGGCCAGAAGACACGACCCAAAACACCCACGAATTGTGGGACCAAGCATGGGCAAACAGCGCTAACTCCCTCCCCTCAATGCCCTGTCAACAGGGAGATCCGCAAAAAGGCTGACACCCCTCAAGAGAAGCTGCTGACGAGCAGAGCGAGAATTGCACCCACCAGACAATGCAGGCTCCGAAGGATACCTGGTTGATACCTGGTTGATGGGGTTCTGGGAGTTGTTCTACTCCCCAAGCCCGGCCCGAGGCCAGGCTCGACTTGTGAGAGTTTGGTCCACCAGGCTGTTGCTTGGAGCGGCCCGCAGGCCCACATACCCACCACAGCCCGGTTGGTCCGGCACTCCTTGGAGGAATAAATCTAGTTTCCTCTTGAAAATGTCCACGGTTGTTCCGGCAATATTTCTTATGCTTGCTGGGAGGACGTTGAACAACCGCGGACCTCTGATGTTTATACAGTGTTCTCTGATTGTGCCTATGGCACCTCTGCTCTTCATTGGTTCTATTCTACATTTTCTTCCATGTCGTTCACTCCAGTACGTTGTTATTTTACTGTGTAGATTTGGTACTTGGCCCTCCAGTATCTTCCAGGTGTATATTATTTGATATCTCTCTCGTCTTCTTTCTAGTGAGTACATTTGGAGGGCTTTGAGACGATCCCAATAATTTAGGTGCTTTATTGCATCTATGCGTGCCGTATATGTTCTCTGTATTCCCTCTATTTCAGCAATCTCTCCTGCTCTGAAGGGGGAAGTGAGTACTGAGCAGTACTCAAGACGGGACAACACAAGTGACTTGAAGAGTACAACCATTGTGATGGGATCCCTGGATTTGAAAGTTCTCGTAATCCATCCTATCATTTTTCTGGCTGTCGCAATATTTGCTTGGTTATGCTCCTTAAACGTTGGGTCGTCAGACATTATTATTCCCAAATCCTTTACATGCTGTTTTCCTACTATGGGTACATTTGATTGTGGTTTGTACTCTGTATTATGTTTAAGGTCCTCATTTTTACCGTACCTGAGTACCTGGAATTTATCACTGTTAAACATCATGTTATTTTCTGATGCCCAGTCGAAAACTTTATTAATATCAGCTTGAAGTTTTCAGCTTGATGTGCTTGTTCCGAAAATGGCACCAAGGGTCCACCTCGCTCAGATCCCCGAGCCCTGGCACGACCCCTCTGAGAGGTCAGAGAGGTCCAAGAACTGCGAGGGGTCTGCCAGTTATGCTCCTTGTGTGTAGTGGAAGCATGTTGAACAGTCTTGGGGCCACTGATGTTAATAGAGGTCTCTCAGAATACATATTGTACTTCTGCTTTTCAAATTTTCTCTACCTAACAGAATTAAAATCATTTTAGACATTCCTTTAACATTGAATTTTGTATACAGGAAAGAATATAAAATTACTTTAGCTTACATGAAGCCACCTATTCAAGACCACAATGTTCTCAGCATGACTATCTACATCTTGAATACAGTGTGCCAGAATGTGTAAGTCATGTCCAAATAAAAATACTGATTTTCTTAACAGTTTATTGAATATGAGAACAAAATATGTTTACAACAGGACAGAGCCAGGAGTTACCACAAACATAACCCCTCATCCAATTTTAAATTTAAGTAGAATTTCAATTTGGCTGCATCACAAGCATGTTAATAATACATAACTTTTCAGAAGCTGTAAACCCACCCACCCACACCTCCCCTGCAAGTTTTGTGGCAACTACTGTGTGCAAGTTTCTGAACCTGCCGATACTCGCTATTTACAGTACTTACAATGATACAAATACAAGCAAAAAGTCTGACAGGAACAAAATCATTGCATTTATAATAATATATTGGCATACAAGAGCCTCATGATGTATTACAAAAGTGATCTAGCTATCCTTTATGAGTAATGGACGACATACTGTATGCAGACATGAGAGACCTGTGAGGGGTGAGGCAGGGAAGGCTGCACCATATTTCACCCACCATACACTTCATTAATCCAATGTAACACTGCATAAAAAATCTTCCTAATAAGGAAATGCTTAATAACTTGATGTACAAAACAGGCAAAAATATACAAAATGAATGAATGCAATTTTTTAAGTAAATGGATTAATGTATGTATACTCTTTACCTTCCTCTTTGCGAGTGTCAGATGATGGGGTAAGAATACCTGGTACTGACAGTGACACGAGGCTAAGTATCTCACACACTCCTGAATGACAAATACATGAGCTAGCACCAATACACTCACTCCTCTGACGATATGTGAACCAGAATCAACCCTTCTGACCTACCGACCTTACATGAATCTGTACGAATGCTCACGTAACACCGACATGTGAGCTAGTACAAAGACAGCTGACTCGCCTCTAAATGGATTGATATCAACAAGCATTTGGTTTGATAAACAGTCTATTGCTACATGCTCAACCTGATGCCACTGAAAAAAGGCTTACTGGCATTTGCATGCACACACACCTGGTGAAAGAAACCATTCCATTTTAAAGAAACCATTATTTACACATGCATTCAGCTGACATTATGACCAAACTAATTATACCTTTACTAGATTGATATTAAATTCATCCAAGAAACATTCTCGCTTCATTCTGTACTACAACACGGTGTAGCTAAGCCTAATGTCACACTTACTTGGTAGACTGACACATGACTATGCCAACACCCCTCACTTGGTTGGCACTGATATAGGGACAATAACCCTTGGTTTGTGAGTGGTTAAAGCTTCTGTAAATAGTTATTTATAGAATAACTTCTAAAAAACCCAGCCGAGTTCTTTAAAATCGACATTAACGATTCCGTTTCATATAAAAATACAATGAATCCTGGACACCTATAAAAAACATTACTAATAATACTGAACCTTATGCTCCAGCTAGATCAGGAATGCAGTTGGAAAAGGATAAAAATGCAAAGCACAAACCAAGAAACCAATATTAATAATTTTGATTTCACAGAAGATAGGAAAAAATATGGATTCCAAGCCATGACTAACATTTTGAGCTGCAAACAATATTAACAAAACAATAATGAGTACTTCTGAGATGTCCAGACAAGAACTGGACAGCCCTGTTAAAATATAAATTTGTAATGGAATTGATGTTTGTTTCAATGTTGTAGAACTTGAGAAAATACCAAGATACAGTAATCAAATGTGTAACTTGACAATGTGAAAATGATTTCTTGTTACCTGCTGCCTCGACTTCACTTCTTTTCTTTGGTTATCTCTACAATTTTCTGTAATTCACATTTGTACACATTTCACTACACTAATAATCTTTTCACTGTCCAGTTTGTAAAATTCATAGCATGACTTGTATCATCAATGAGCATTGTCCTCTACAAGCACTTGTACCTTTCAGAAAATGTACTGAGAAGAAATCTTGGTAACCCAAGTATTTAGACATTTTGACCTAGGGCTCTCAAATGCTTATGCATACCACCTGGACCAATCATCATCATTTCTGGTATATACTGGTAGGACCGTGTTACCTCAGACCTGCTACAGCACAACACATGGACCAAGTTATAAGAGTACAGTACTTCTGTATACTGTACTACCTGCAACAAGTTTCACTAGTTCTGCTGCACACTACCCGGCCCAGGTCACACCTATTACCAACTATAGCCTATATGACCAAATCATTTCACTTTCGATATACCAACTTGGACCAAGTTGCATGGTTTTTTGCATTATGCTACTTGTTCCATGTCACTTGTTCACTGTACAAAGGCACAGGCCTTCTCTAGGCTAGAGTATCCCATTGGTGAAGTACTGGAAGCCATCATAAAGTCTGGTAGTAATAGAGTTAATGGCATTATACACTAGAGAGTCCAGATGAGCCTGGAGCTGTTCATCAGTCATGTTGACATGGAAGCGGTTTTTTAAAGCTGGTACCACTGAAGCTCCAGCACGGAAACATGCTAACTTGGAACCTGGGAAGAAAATACAAAATAAATTACTTGACAGCATTAACATTGTTCAGAGCCCCTAATTTGGTTCAGACTTTGAGCCAAGTATAAAATATCAGCAATCATCTCTATTTCTCCAAATTGTATTTCCACAAGTGGCACATGTAAAAGAGAGAAAGTGTGTACTCACTTATTTGTGCATGAAGGATTAAGCTTTAACTCTTGGACCAGAACGTGTGTGTAATTACCTAAGTGTAGTTACAGGATGGGAGCTACGCTCGTGGTGTCTCGTCTCCCCAGCACTTTTTGTCATATAACCCTTTGAAATTACTGATGGTTTTGGCCTCCACCACCACCTCTCCTAACTTGTTCTAACCATCTACCACACTGTTTACAAAAGTGAATTTTCTTAAATTTCTCAAGACAGCTTTGTTCCGTTAGTTTAAATCTATGACCTTGTTCTTGAAGCTCTGGGTCTTAAGAATTCTTCCCTATCAATTTCATCGATTCCTGTTACTATTTTGTATGTAGTGATCATAGTGCCTCTTTTTCTTCTATCTTCTAGTTTTTGCATCTTTAATGCCTCAAACCTCTCCTCGTAGCTCTTGTCCTTCAGTTCTGGGAACCACTTAGTGCCATGTCTTTGCACCTTTTCCAGTTCGTTGATGTGCTTCTTAAGATATGGGCACCATACAACCGCTGCATATTCTAGCTTTGGCCTAAAAAAAGTCGTGAACAATTTCTTTAGTGGTTCTCCATCCGTGTATTTAAAAGCAATTCTGAAGTTAGAAAGTGTGGCACAGGCTCCTTGTACAACATTCTTTATGTGGTCCTCAGGCAATAGTTTTCTATTTAAAACTGCCCCTAGATCTCTCTCTATCAGAAGTCTTTACAGATTTTCCACATAATTTATAGGTTGTATGGGGTCTATGTTCTCCTATTCCACATTCCATAACATGGCATTTATTTACATTAAATTCCATTTACCAAGTGGTGCTCCATATACTTATTTTGCCCAGGTCTTCTTGGAGTGCATTACAATCATCTAAGATACTTATCCTTCCCATTACAGTATCTTAGCATCATCAACAAACATGTTCATATAATTCTGTATTCCATCTGGTAGATCGTTTATGTAGACAATGAACATTACCAGTGCAAGAACTGAACCCCTGTGGTACTCCGCCTGTGATATTTCTCCAGTCTGATACACTTCCTCTTATTACTGCCCTCATTTTTCTGTCAGAAAATTTTTCATCCATGTTAATAGCTTACCTGTCACCCCTCCAATGTGTTCCAGTTTCCAGAACAACCTCTTATATGGAACTCTGTCGAAAGCCTTGTTTAGATCCGGATAGATGCAGTCAACCCAACCATCTTTTTCCTGTAAAATCTGTGGCTCGATCATAGAAACTGGGTAAATTTGATACACAGGATCTTCCAGATCGAAAACCATACTGTGCCAGATATTATATTGTTTCTCTCCAGGTGTTCTACCCATTTAAATTATTTTTTCCAATATTTTGACTATTACACTTGTCAATGATACAGGTCTATAATTGAGGGGGTCTTCCCTGCTGCTACTTTTGTAGATTGGAACTATGTTAGCCTTTTTCCACACATCTGCTACGACTCCTGTACACAGGGATGTCTGAAAAATCAGCTGAAGTGGTATGCTGAGCTCAGGTGCACATTCTCTTAGCACCCATAGTGAAACCCCATCTGGGCCAACTGCTTTGTTCTTACGTAGCTCCAAGAGCATTTGTTTCACTTCGTCTCTAGACACCTCTATGCTCTATGTTGTTCTCTGGAATTCTTATTGTGTCTGGTTCCCTGAAGATTTCATTTTGTACAAACACACTGAAAATTTTCGTTTAATGTTTCACACATTTCCTTTTCACTTTCCATGTATCTGTCCCCCATGTTCAACCTCTGAATTGTCTTATCCTTTATCTGCAGCTTGCTTTTAATGAATTTATAGAAAAGGCCTGGATCTGATTCACATTTGTTTGCTATACCGTTCTCAAAAGTTCCTCTCTGCCTCTCTCATTACCGACGTGTAGTTATTTCTCGCATCTTTGTATCGTTGGTATGTTTGGAGGGTTTGGACTCTTCCTATAATGATTCCATGCTTGTGTCTTTTGATCTCTGGCTCTCATGTAATTTCTGTTGAACCAACCCTGTTCCCTATGTCTGCATCACTGTTTTGGTATAAATGTTTGTGTGCCTTCATCTCATATTTCGCAAAATATGGCATACATCTTATTCGCTTCCTTGCCTAGCAACAAGTCTGTCCAATTATACCCATGAAAAAAATGTCTAAATTCCCTATAGCATCCTCTCTTGAAATCAAGTTTAACAACTGTTTCAATGTCCCCATTCTCAACTAGATTATATCGCAAAGCGCATTTAATGTCCATGAGGACGTGATCACTCTTTCCCAAGGGAGGAAGGTACTGGATGTCAAATACTACTACTACTTTTCTAGTGAATATTGGATCCAGTACTGATGGAACATCCCCTTCCCTCATTCTTGTGGCCTGCTTGACGTGTTGATACATGAATGTCTCCAAGATGAGGTTTACAAACCTGCCTGTCCAAATGTCCTCCGTTCTTGCTTCGTAGGCCTCCCAGTCTATTGCCTTAAAGTTAAAGTCCCCCAGTACCAACAATCGGGATTTATCTTTGTCAGCTCTTACCATAATCTCTCTCACGACCATCATGAGGCCCTCTCGTTTGTCATCCAGTTCTTCCTTTGTCCATGTGTTGCTTGCTGGTAGGCTGTAAGCATTTAAAATTATCAGCTTGTCATTTTGATTCCAGACCTGCAATGCCATTATGTCAGTATCTCGAGGGTTTTCAAATATTAACTCTCTTGCCTTCAGGTGTTCTTTCACCAGCACAGCCACTCCTTCCCTGCCCTTCTTAGTTTACATCTTCAAACTGAGTAGCCCCTTGGGAATACGACCTCACTTAAAATATTTTCTTCAAGTTTCGTCTGTTAATGCGACAATATCTGGGACTTTGAGCTGAAGTATATCCTTCAACTGCAATATTTTCTATCTCACCCCATCTATGTGCATATATACTATTTTCAGGAACATGTTCCCCTTCCCTTTGTTCTTTACACCCCCTTCCTTTAATGATTTTGTTGCTTTGTCTTTATGTACCATTTCACAAGCTTTCCAGTCACTGACACTTTGTAGAAAAAAGAATTCCCATCTTCATTTCTATCCCCATTTAGACATTTTGCTTCAATGAGGTTTATTTTCAGCTTTTCTGTCCTCCTTTGAGAGGTCTTGTCTTATTGACCAAGGTTTGCCATCCTCGTCACATTGCAATTTTCTGGCATTCCGAAGCACTTCTGTCATACTGTACTTCACTATTAAACGTCACCCTTAAGGGGCAGTTCTTGTCTCTCTCATATTTTCCTATCCTCCTAAAATCACTGACATGCTCGTTGACCAGACCACACACTAGAAGGTGAAGGGACGACGACGTTTCGGTCCGTCCTGGACCATTCTTAAGTCGATTGTGAAAATGGTCACAATCGACTTGAGAATGGTCCAGGACGGACCGAAACGTCATCGTCCCTTCACCTTCTAGTGTGTAGTCTGGTCAACATACTTCAGTCACGTTATTGTGACTCATCGTCTGCACTGACATGCTCCATTGAATTTAGGTCTTCTCCTAATCCTACTATTTTTTTCTATGATTTTCATCTCTTCTGTTGCTCTGTCCACTCTAGATGAAATTTCTTTCTCTAAACATCCAAAAATTACTATGGACTTACTTCTATCTACAGTGTTTTGTACCAGTTTACTATTGGTAACCAGTTCTTTCCTTATTGCTTGCCTAAGATCCACTTCTTGTTTGTCATTTCCGGTTTTAACTTCCAAACACACTTCCTTAATCGTCTCTTTCTCTTTTACAACTTGCGCATACGTCTCTTTATATTTCTTCTTTATACTTTTCTAGTTCTTTATTAACCACTATGTGAGTTGTCAATGAAGTTTCCAGTTGCAGATCCTTGCCTAACTATGATAGCCCTCAGGCTCCCTTGGAGTTGTTCACTATGATTATTTTCTTGTTTATTTCTTCAAAGTCACCACTCTTCACTTTCCATACCTCATTTTTCTTTCACTAGTTCCTTGATTTGTTCCTCCTGATTTGTTACCTTGTCCGTTAATGCAGTAATAATCTTTCCTTGCCGAAGAATACTTCCTTTTAGAGTGCAAAGCTCACGCTCTATTGTCCTTTTCCAATTTAAGCACTTTTTCTTCATATTTCTTTTGCATATCCTCAATTATCTCTAGCCTGTGTGATAATGTGATAAGGTGTGTGTGTGTGTGTAAAATCCATTGCTAGTGTATTACATAATATATTTATGACTGGCACCAACACTTACCAGAGCTCATGACTTCAACCAAGGAGAGGATCTTCTCACTATGTTTCCTGGCAGCCATAAGACCTTGCAAGAGCAGGATCTTGAAGTATGCAAACATGTCTGAGTTTTCTCCCCCCATCACCTCCACCAACTCTTGTGTCAGCTTGAACGGGGATGACTCAAACCCTAAGTTACGGGGCGATGACGACAGCATGAAACCAAAGTCTATGTGTATAATGTGACCCTCGTTGTCCAACAAAATATTTCCATTATGTCTGAAACACAAAAACACAATGTATTTACAAGGATAAGATGTGGAAAAGTTATTATAGAAGCATTCACAAATAAAAAAAATCCCTCATTCTAATAAGAGGATAACAGTTCACCTCTGTTGTTGTTTTAGATTCAGCTACTCGGAACAAAAAGTTCCAAGTAGCACAGGCTATCGTAAGCCTATGGTGAACTTACCTGGCACAGGAGCGGGGCTGTAACTTTCATACCTCTATGCAGGTATAAAATGAATGCCTAGCCCTTGGCACTATAGGCCAGTAATTACAATAACTACAGGTATCACCATAGTGGATTTTATCTACACCTTTCTCATCCTGTTAAAGCAGATCCAGTGCAAGTAGAAGGGCAACAAGTTCAATCAGGGAATTATCTATAAGCATCAACTTCTCACAGATTTTTAAATTCCTTCCACTAAATTTAAGAAATATTGTCAAAATATTAGGGGAAATTTTCAAGGAGTTGGACAAGTTCCTGCAGAAAGTACTGGATCAGACAGGCTATAATGAATATTTTGGACCTGTAGACCATAATGGATATATGGACTAGTGGACCACAGAGGGCAACAACTTTACAAGAAAAGGCTGGTACTTGGCCATGTTGTTCAAGTAAACTCTCTTGTAAACAGACTTCATTTAAAAAAAAAAAATCCTGGGCCAAATTCCCGGGTGAGGGGCCTCAGTATTGAGTGAGCAACACCAGGATCCTGATAATAGTAGGACTGTGGTGATATTTAGCGCTGTGCTCCATGGAGGGAGGAGTAATGCTGTGGGAGGGAGGGTGGCGGTGTTGTCTTCTGACTGTGTGTGGCCACCTTTTTATTGACTGCACTCACCATACCAGCTTAGTGGTTCGCTATGGTGAACACAAATGTAGATACTTATATATAATGTGTGTATAGAGTGTAATAACAGCAATAGGAGTAGGTTGGGGAGCCGCCATTTTGGTGAGGGAGGTGCGTTGTCTGCACGACTTATCATGTTTACTGGTGACCACTATGGTCTTTGGGCACTATACCAGCTTACTTGTACAAGTATGGTGAATAAAACAGGTAGATATTTATATATAATGTGCGTATATAGCGTAATAACGCCACAAACAGTATTGTTGGAGGAGAAATATTAGTGCGTCTGGCCTTGAGGGTGGCCGCCACCAGCTGACTGTGTGAGTAGCTATGCTTTGTGCCTTTACTCACCATACAAGCTTAGATGTATAGTTATGGTGAACAAAACATGCAAATACTCATATATAACGTCTGTATATAAAAGCAAAAACAGTATGGTGGGAGGAGAAACGTGGCGAGTCAGGTGAGGTGAGAGAGGGAGGGAGTGGCAGCCAGTGGCGGGCTGCCACTGGCTGCCACTGCCACTCAGCGTACCAACTTAGTGGTTCGTTATGGTGAACACGAATGTAGATACTTATATATAATGTCTGTATATTGTGAATAAAAGCAAAAACAGTATGGTGGGAGGAGAATGTGGGCGAGTGAGGTGTTGAGGGAGTGAGTGGCAGCGAGTGGCTGGCTGGTGTGTGGCGGTCACTCCTTGTTACTTTTTGACTCATAACTGCAACTTAGTGGTTCATTATGGTGAACAAAACATGAAGATACTTATATATAACCTGTGTATATAGTGTAATAACCGACAAAGTATTTGTTCACTGTTTGATAAACACAATTGAATCAACATATTTTTGAGTACAGCAATGATTCACTCATTTTATTATATAAATATATCACACTACACACTATTGAATAACATTACAGCGAAAAAACTACGAAAAATCAATCGGAGACATTGAAATAATTAGGTAATTATCTCTTTGTGGTCACTCCTGCTTGACAGCTTGCGAACAACAGACCATCTGGGACGCACGCTGAGTCAGCGCCTGTTTTTTGCCAGACTTCCCCACCCTAAAGATGGCAATATATGCCACTTATGATTTTTTTATTATTTTTCCCCGTGATCAGTGAACACAAATTAACAGGTTTAGAAGAAAAAATATTTTATTTTTTTGGTATGCACCTGTGGGTGACAAATGCTAAATAGCCTGGAGCCACACAAGGGTTAAGGCAAAAATTTAAGAACCTGACCAAAGAATCCTTCAAAATATACACAGCATATGCTAGCCCAGTCCTAGAGTATGCAATTCCAGCATGAAACCCACACCTAGTAAAACACCAAAATATAATTTTTAAAATTTAAAGATTTGCCATAAGACAAACATATTAGAAACACTCCCCCCTCCCCTACACACACACACACATTCTGGAACTGAAAATCAACAGCTACGAGGAGTGGTTAGAGGCTTTAAATATGAAAAAGCTAGAAGATAGAAGAAAGAGGCAATATGATCAATATATACAAAACACTAACAGGAATTGACAGCAAAATTGCTAAAGAGGAATTTTTTAAACCCACAACTTACAAAAAAAAAGGTCACAGATTCAAGCTAAGGAAATAAAGATGCCAATAATTATTAGAACGTTCTCCTTTGTAAAGAGAATGGTAGAAGGTTGGAACAAGTTAAGTGAGAGGGCAGTGGATGCCAAAACCATCAGTAGTTTCAAAGCATCATATGAAGACGGGACACAGCGAGCATAGCTCTCATCCAGTAACTACAAACAAAGCATACACACACACACATACATTTCATTACTCACCTATCTTTAACCTGAATAATGTAACAAACAAGGCAGTAAGCAGCACAAGATTCAACAAATTTTCTTTGTGCTGTAAGAAATTCTTCAGAATTTTTATCTCCAAATTCTTTGATGAAATATTCCAACATAGACATCTTGCTGTTTTTCTTGATCTGGTGCAATGAACACGTGTTGACAATGGGTTCAATCATGCCAGAGTCATCTGATAGCACCAAGATTCTGCAATATAACAAACTTGTTTATGTTTTACCATATGGAATAAATACATAAAACCAAAAACAGCAGCACAATGCTAGTGCCAGTTATATAAAATAGAATGTATATAAAAAATGTATATAAAAATGCATATACTTTTTTATATGTATATAAAAAAGTGTAATGTATATAAAAACATTATTTAAAATAGCAAATAATATTGTGTATCGACACAAATCAATGTCGTCTTATAAGAGAAAACACTTTCATGTACATATACTTTCATGTATATGTTACTGCTTTACTTTCTATTTGTGACAAACAAATCTGCAAGTTTGGAATGCTTTCTACAAATCACTTGCCTAGTAAAATTAATGTTGAACAAATGAAAGATAGTAGATTGGTGAAGAGGGGTTTAATTAAATTTTTAGGTAGTAGAGAAGAGGAAGGCCAGGAAGGTGGGAATACATGGCAAGTGATTTAATGATTAATTATATGGTATAAATATTTACATATCTGCATGTAGTTGATACGCGAGTGAGAAAATTCGAACTCACTCGACCAAGTGAGCAGGTTCAAATCCTCCTCGTGGCTACTACCGATTTTCTCATTAACAACATTGAAGCTTTATTATGGATTTTCACATTAATAAAGTCATTTTATTTTAATTTATGCTGGGAAATGATTTAACAGTTAAATTCAGTGCAAATGCTTACTTTAAATAAAGTACAGCAACACTTGAGTCACTCCTACTCAGTGGCCACTTGCAATTTATCAGTGAGCAGATAGCAGCCTCCCATTCAAGTTCACTCTTTTCCTTACCACTACTCCATAACCCAACACTTGCTGTTATTTCTCATACCCCTAGCCTCTCCCTGCACCCAATAGGCACTTGTCCACATCAGTTGGAGAGGGAGGCTCATTGAGGCAGTGTTGATTATAGTGTAGTCATGTAATTACAGTACTAGTCCTCCACTTCTCACCCCCGCCACACATTACACCCAAGCGGCTCCCAAAACCCACTAAGCACTTCCTGAACCCACTCACCACTTTTCCACACTTGTACTCTTCTTATTATTTATGCGGTGCACCTAACAGCACTAAATGAAAAGATTATAAACCAAAATAACATGCAGGGCTTTTGAGGATAAAAGAGGGTGCCTCTGGTAAACACTTCCACCTCGTATCGGATTGAGTGCTTATGGATTTCTAGCCGACACACAGAGCATATGGCGCAAAGACACTAATAGAAAAGGATTGAACTGTAATGTTAAAGAGCCATTACACTGCCATTATGCTGTGTGCAAATTATGTATACAGTTTCAGATGTGAATAATGGTAATTGAGAATGACCAAGATGCTGTACAACATTTAATAACTGCTGTGATAACAATTATCACTTGTATCACTGTTGTCCCTGATACAGCTCCTCATTCACATCTGTCATGGTAAGCAATCTCAACACAGCATGAGTTCATCCCCCACCCCATTAAGAGGAAGATGTAAAAGGTCAATATTGAATTTGTTAACTGTCTTTTAGCCAGTATATAACACAGATACTCACTTATAAGGTCTAAGCCATAATGATACTTTTTCTTCAATCCATATTTTTTGAAACATACAGAGAAGTTGGTAAGCAAGCAACTCTTGCCTCAGATCATCTCCACATTTGACAATCACCGATCGCAGACGCCAAGATGCCAAGTGTCCATACGGAGAGCTTTCTCTGATACGTTCCACCTGCAATTGTACCAAAGGAGGTATATTATGATCTGACAAGAAAATATCTTGATATAAAATTATTTAAATTTCTTGTAATTCTACTCTTGATTCTTTCTATAAAGTTCAGAAAGTTTATACTATACTTCTAGTATTTTGAATAATTCTTCCTGCAACACATTTGCTTCATGACCAAGCTTCACTGGTGAAGATTTCCTAAGTTGAGCTACTACTTATTGTAACCTATATAGCAGTAGTTGACTGTTTTATCATTTAGGACGAGTCAAATGAAAATAAAGAAACTTCTCATCAATACTCCTATTACAGTACAGTAGGGGGTGGTGAAATTCATAATACACTACAAAATCTAGATAGTGACACTAAAGCTCTCAGACATTACAAGTGGGCAACAAACCAGGAGAGCAAATGCTACTGACAAGTTATCTCCTTTTTGCAGGAAAGGTTATATTCACCATATTTTCCTCTCCAGGGATTTACTCTCAATAATAATATACATTGTAATGTCTGTTTCATGAAGCTATCTTTATAGACCAGCCTGACTCTCTTAAACTGCATCCAGTTGACACAACATTTTATAAAAAATCCAAAGTAAGTGTGTTATGAGAGTGAGAAAGTTGATGGGCATCGTTTTAAAAATATATGGTAGTTTTCATTTTGAAAGTGAAGAACTGAATACTGATCCCATCTTCTAAAATACGCCATTAAATTTTTTTAACCACAATAAGAGTTTGGGATGTGTGACAGTCTATGGGAACATTCGGGGAAAATCGTGTGTCTGGTCTCTATTAAGAAAATGGCAAATTTTGATGGGTTTCATTCAACGGATAATGAAGTTTGGCTCAAGAGAGGTGCCCAAAATTGTATTCCAAAATACTGTAGCCGAGATCATATCTCCTTAATTAATTAATTTAAATATTGAATGGCTCATGTTCCTATGTTATTTCATATAAAATCTAAAGTATACGAGTTTTTGGAGGGTGAAAGTCATTGGGGCTGGTTCACATTACACTGTTTGGGGATCATGGCGCTGCCTTTCCGAAATAACATTTTGAGGCTGGATTGCGCAAGAAATATTTGGGACAATAGTGCAGTAAAATTTTCCAATTAAACATGGGAAATGAATAGCATCTCATTTAAGACTGCTTTATGTGAGCTATTTATATTTATAAAATATGGGTGCAATCAAAAGATCAGTTGCCACAAAAAAACAGAATTGCCCCCTCCCCCCCATCACTGTATATATCCATTGGCAAGTTTGGTATTTCCAGTAGTGGCTATCTTCTGTTCATACTGAATGGTAAGTTTTGTACATGAAGAATCAGATACTGATTCTGATAATGAATCAGATACTGATTTGGAAGGCAATGCACAACAGGCAGGAGTAAAGGGTAAGGTGCTCCAGTGTATAAGGGAGTATCTAAGCAACAGGAAACAGCGAGTAACTGTGAGGGGGGAAAGCATCAGTGGCGAGATGTCACTAGCTGGGTTCCACAGGGGCTCTGTACTTGGACCCATCCTGGTTTTAATATATGTAAACGACCTTCCAGACGGTATAGACTCATTCCTCTCAATGTTTGCTGATGATGCAAAAATTATGAGAAGAATCAAAACAGATGAAGATAGACAGAGATTACAGGATGACCTGGACAAACTGGTGGAATGATCTAGAAAATTGTTCCTAAAGTTCAATTCAGGAAAGTGTAAAGTAATGAAATTAGGCAAAGGGAACAGAAGGCTAAATACAATGTATCATCTGGGAGGTGATATCCTGCAAGAGTCAAATAGAGAGAAAGATCTGGGGGTTGATATCACACCGAACCTGTCTCCAGAGGCCCACATCAAAAGGATATCATCAGCAGCATATGCTAGACTGGCCAACAAGAACTGCCTTTAGAAACTTGTGTAAGGGATTGTTCAGGACCCTGTATACCACTTATGTAAGATCAATCCTGGAGTCCACACCTAGTTAAACACAAGACGAAGTTAGAGAAGATTCAGAGGTATGCCACCAGACTGGTCCCAGAACTGAGAGGTATGAGCTATGAGGAAAGGCTAAGGGAGCTGAACCTCACATCCCTGGAAAACAGAAGAGTAAGGGGAGACATGATAACCACCTACAAAATTCTCTGGGGAATTGACAGGGTGGATAAAGACAAACTCTTTAGCACAGGTGAGACACGAACAAGGGGACACAGGTGGAAACTTAGTACCCAGATGGGCCACAGAAACATTAGAAAGATTTTTTCAGTGTCAGAGTAGTTAACAAATGGAATGCATTAAGTAGTGATGTGGTGGAGGCTGACTCCATACACAGTTTCAAATGTAGATATGATAAGAGCCCAATAGGCTCAGGAATCTGTACACCTGTTGATTGACAGTTAAGAGGCAGGACCAAAGAGCCAAAGCTCAACCCCCACAAACACAACTAGGCGAGTACTGGTTTCAAAATTGGTCATTAAATCCAATGATTTAATAAATAGGTGGTCCATAAATCAAGCAAATCTGTAACTCATTCAGCCCGTCCTCCAAATATAGGGAGGTAAATGTAACAGCACAAATAAGTGCAATTATGTACTATTCATAGCAGTCAGAAATTGTACTTATTTTCACTTAGTATTAAATCGTACTGTCAAATATATTGTGAATATTTGAGTTTACCTGAAAAGCTGAATAGAAAACCATGACCTCAACTAACCGTCTTAGTGTTTGAAGATAAACATTTTATTGCTTCTTAATTACAATTAGTACTTAACCTATAGCTATATTGATATTACAGTTTTATAAAACTAATAAAACCAAAATATCAGCAAATTGTAAAGTAACTCAGGATATGTTCAAATTTTGTATAAAATCTCTATTGCTTAATAAAACTGAAAAAGAAATTCCTGATATTTAAAACTTATATAAAGCGAATTGAATTTGAAAACTTCATCCTAAAATTCTAAGTGTCTTAACAGAAAACGAGGAGAATAAATGAGGAGGTAAATGTAACAGCCCCATAAGTGCAATTATGTACTATGTATGACAGTAAAGAAATGTACTTATTACTCTTAGCATTAAACCGTACTGTCAATTTGGAGGATGGGTTGAACTAAAAAGTATTAAATCATTCCAAGAGATCCTTGTTTTCATCTGACTCCCTAGTATACATTGTAATGAAACTGATCATATTCTTCCTTAAACTCTTCCAGTGGTCTTCAAATAAGAGATTTTGTATGCACTAACAATTAAACATGTTAAGGGCCATGAATGTTTATCACTATCTCCAGACAACGGGAAACATATACAAACCTTATCTTGCCAAGGCTCTTTTAGAGCTGCTGCTGATGGATCTTCTGGGTCTCTCTTAAATCCTGTCTTGGGAGCATTTACGGTCTCGGAGAGTCGTCGGCGAATGTCTGCCGCTTCTCTGTTGGTCAATTCTCTCGAGTCACAAGAGTCTAAAGACATCATGGATATAGTATCACGGTCTCTTAGTTTTCTAGGTCTGTAGTACTGTTGACTGATCTCGTCATCTTCGTGGCTCCAGCAGTCGGATTCATCTATATAACCTTGCAAATATTAAACATATAAATTTCTGTTATCTTGGAGATGAGAGAAATATAAAAACACAGTTGGACACACTCAGAAGTAAATGCTACAATATTATCCATGCTTTGTAAACATTACAAAAATTTGGATTTATACTCTCCAGAATGATTGCTGCTTGTTAATGGTAAAATGAACAAGACGAGCTGGCTAGTGTAATTTGAGTGCTACAGAATTTTGTTGACCTGTGTTAACTATTATTCTTTAAGTCATCTTACATTCTCCAATAGATGCCAATAAAAAAAAAAAAGTTCCTTCATAGATATACTCCACAAAGCCATTCATTAAATATCACAAGATGATGTATATAAATAATAGATGCCAGAGAGTAGTTATACCAGCCAAAGGAGCAGATAGAAGAAATAAAATGTATTACATATATTTTTATTGACATGAAATTCCTGGCAGAGACAGACAAGAGCTTATACAAGTAGAAAAGATGTCTGAAACAATTTCTGGTTAATCAACTAATGACCTGAAGTTGTATTAACAACCACATTCATACCAAGTTCAAATAATACCTTATCAGCAAAGATTCAAGCCAGGATCAGCCTCAGAGCAAGAAAAGGCAGGTGCCCGAGCAAGATGAGGCAGGAGCCAAAAATGAGGAGTCACAACAGCACTCACAGTACAGTAGTCTCTAAAATACCTGCCATTTACTGTTTACCCTAGCTGTGTATTAAAACTTCAATATGTCTCAAGATCTAGGGACTGTTAAACTGACAATCTTGAGTACTACAGACAGACATACATCATCAATAATCCTGCATACATAAATATAGCAAATTACCAGATGTCAAGTGAGGTGAACTGAGTGAAGACGGAATGGAAGAGGTAGAGCCAAGGCCACTAGTAGTGGCAGTGGCAGTGGTAGTTGGCGTGGCAGTAAGGTCTAGCTGCGAGGAGGAGGTAGATGCAGGAGAGTCGACTAGGTTTTCCTCAGAGCGAGTGTGCCGCAGACTGTGGGTCAGCTTTGCTTGGACAGGAGCAGTGTCTAGGTTGTCCACCTCTAACACTTCAACATATATGATGTATGGTGCCTGAATAAAAAAGGAATTGTGTACAGTCTTAAACTTACTCTATATTCACAAATAAATTGAATATTCTGTCTTTGAATACAATCATATAATTAAGACTACATGTTTTGTAGTCAAAAAATGATTAATTTTCTGAAATATTTCAGTACTACTTTTTACCTTCTGTCAAAAGAAAAGTATTTAAAAATAAACAGAACTGATTGTGAAAATCTTTCAGTACAGAACTTAAACTTCAAACAGCACGAAGCATGCAACTGATTAAATCCAATCTTCAATTATGTTGTAAAAAATGATCTGTAAATAATGAATGGAATTTAAAATGTAAAAGTTCATTAACTTTGCAGGCGAGACTAATATTATCATAATCACACCTTATCTTTAGAATTCAGCACAACAGCAGCTTGCGGTGGGATGCGGACAACATGATGGTGCATCTCTGTGGCACACAAAGGCAGGTACACACGCGCAGGTAAGTTTAAATTTAGTACCGACAGCTCAGCAAGTAATCGAGAGGTTTTGGCTTCTTTGGTGGGCTGAGCTCCCAGGCGCTTACCAACAGTGATAAGAGCTCGCACAAACTCCAACTCTGGCGATAATCTCGGTGCCTGAATGAAAATATTTAAAATTAATACAACTTTAGGAAATTTTCAACACATTTGATCAATATCTACTGTAAAACTTTGTGATATAATGTTTTTTCTAGCAAATTTTGTATTACACAGGCTGTTGGAGTTGTTAAAAACATACTGTACAGCAAATATTTTTATTTTAAGTAAAAGCAAACAAAGAGTGTTCTATGTACATATTAATATTTGTAGAGAGACTGATGAACTTGCTGATGAAACTGTAAACACTGTTATCAAGAGAAACCCCCAGCTCTTAAACCTAATTCTTTCACTGACTACTACTAGCTCATCATACATAGTCTTATTTACACCTTGGAAAAAGAAATGGACAAGTTTAATAAATCATAAGCTCAGCGTTGTCAAATACAGTGTTTCCAATTGGTCTTCTTCGTATCATCAGAATAAAAAATGGGAGAAATTCTTAAGACTATTTGCATAATGGCTATATAATCACTTATGATTATTTAATGAAAAGAAAACCTGCCCTTTACTCTCCCAATAGTCTTGCCTCACTTAAAGTTTGTATCATATAGTTATCTGCCCTAATTTTCAGTATGAAAGAAAGTAGTGCTTCCCAATCATGTTGACAACCCGAGTATGAGCAGCGAGGATGTTACTAGGCGGGGTTTTACTGCCCCCAGCAACATGCCGAGGCAAGTGGCAGTGTGTCACATGGCCAGAGGAAAATGACGACAGTGTTCCCTCCACATCAGGTGTTCATGGTAGGCCTATTATACGTAGAACACCCTCATCTCCTTCCATACCTATACGCATTGACTGAAGCCAAGTCTAATAATATACAAATCAGCCTGGATAGCTCCAGGGAGCCGAAGGGGCTCCCCCCAGAAAAAAGTGAAAACTGTTAGAATAAACTTTATATCATTAACAATAAATATTCCTGTTGAAATACTTACTCCACAGTGACACTCAACAGCTTTTCCTCGCAGAGAGTTACATCTGGCTTCTTCAGAATCAAAACAGCAACAACCATTATCGAAGGCTCGGCCAGAAGTGAGGTCACCAAGACAATTTTTTAGGCTTCCTTAAAAGAAAAAAGACAAGTTTGAAATATAATATAATATAATATAATATAATATAATATATATATATATATACACACACACACACACACAGTATATATATGTATATATATATAAAATCCACAGAGAAATGGGAAAGAGAGATGAACGTTTCGGCCGATCTGGGCCTTTGTCAACACCTGACTGAAAGAAATCACAAAGAAAGAGTGGAGGAAGACACAAGATCCTGACCACCATCTCCTTGGGGAAAGAATTAACCAGAATAAGGTATAGATTAACTCTATAGTTAAGGTGGTCAGAAGTAAGTAACTCTATAGTAAGAGTGGTCAGAAGGATTTAAGCGGTAATAATAAAAGATTAAAGAAAAAGCCTCATTGAACCTACATAAAATATTAAAATAATATTGTATGAAGGAAGGAAGGAATTATCAAGGAAAAGCGCCAAGCCATTATGACTGTATAGCACTGGGAAGGGGTCAGGATAAGGATTTGGGATGGGACAGGGGGGGCGGAAGGAATGGTGCCCCAACTACTTGGACAGTCGGGGATTGAACGGCGATCTGCATGAAGCGAGATCGAAACATGCATATGCATAAAAGAAAACCTGCTACCAATATACACCAATACATACATACATATATGCGGAAAATCCACAAAGAAATAGGAAAGGAAGATGAACGTTTCGGCTGTTTAAAACAGCTGTTTGCTCCTAGTCAGTCTGGTGTTGACAACGGCTTTAAACAGCCGAAACATTCATCTTCCTTTCCTATTTCACTGTGGATCTGCATGAAAGCGATTTTCTCTATCTTCTGATGTGTGGGTTGGTCATCATATCTTCAGCCATGTTATTGTGATGTATCAACTCCACATTTGATAATACTTTACTAAGTAATCCACAAACATCCAAAAAACAAAAGCAAAAAATAGAAACATATAAAATGCAGATAAATAACATTAAAGAAAAACCATGTTGGAAGATCTTTATTTTGAAGAACAAAGTAGCTATTACAACTGCTAGAAATATGACTGACTGAATAACAAGAGCCATTCAAACAAGAGACGTCAGGCCAATGATGGAAATTTTTTAAATAATAGTGTTCTCTAGGGTGGAATATTGTTGCACACTAACAGCCCCATTCAAAGCTAAAAAAGTTGCTAAACTGTAGAACAGAAGAGATATGTCTTGAATACTTTCAATACAAATATAAATTACTGGGGTCACTTAAAATGTCAAAATCTTCATTCCCTTGTGTGCAGGCAATAGATACATTTAGTAATGTAATTATTTACAATTAGAAAATATTGTAGGGACTGGTTCCAAAATAACACCACTGAAAAAGGTGCAATAGATATGCCAAGAGACAATTCTTCCAACTTTAAGGGGCCCCAATACTCAATACTATCCCATTAAACAAGGAGAAAATAACTAGTCACCCTCTCGTGATCTTTAAAAGAGAATTTTACGAACTGATCAATACAATAGGTATGATCATTCCCCATTTCAGTGCAAGTAGCAACAGCTTTATTTAGCAACAAGCTATTAAGAGATCTTACCCAATAAATTTTTTTCTGGAGATCGCTTAAATATACTGTACATGAAGCTATAAATGGATACTAAAGCGTGTTTAATGCAATGTTTATTTTGAATGGAGTGCAGTATTCAGAGTAAGACCTAATTTCTATTGCAGTAACACTATGTACAGTACAGACAAAATAATTATACCAGTAGATTAAAAGCAAGAAATCCATCTGACCTGATGACTGGGTGCGCTTGTGTCCCCGTGAAGAACTGGACTGAGCTGAGAGAGCCGCAGTAGCATCTGACCTTGAGCGCTGGTGAGACTTGCGAGATGGGGCTGGGAAAGTTACTCTCGCGATAAATGGTGGCGGCAGCTCCGTGACGGGGGATCCTGGATTGGAACCTGGACTTGGGTGCTCTTTTATTCTGGTACACAAGGTAGATCGTTGTTGGCACACTTGTAATTTGGATTCCATTGCAAAACTTCCAATAGATTCGGATTTTGGCCTGGCATTCAAAAAAACTAGGTTTAGTTTGGGCACAAAATAAATGAGGTAAGTAATTACATTTTGTTAACAAAAAATTACGAGTACAAAATTTATGAAATAAAATTTATTTAACTAAAGTACAAATTATTACAGCATAAATAAACCCTGAAAGAATAACAAATATTACAAGATAAATTCTGATAGAGGAGTTCTGGTACATTTCCAATACATTTCCATTTTCAATATCGTTTATGTATTGAAATTGTGTAAAATGAGGTCAGGCACACTGTTTAATAGTCTCAGTGTAAACCAACCAGGTTTTTTAATTTATCAACCAGGCATGAGTACTCCTGGAATTTTACATTCATCAAAAATTGCAAACACCACTATCACAGGCCCTAAACATATTTTGGAGACAGCCTAGATCCTGGTGTTATCCGCACAAACTGAAAACAGTGGAAAACACGCCATGTCACAAAGATGGTGGTATAGCAAATGCAAAAAAAATTATGGGCCAATAGCACTAACATACCTGGAGGGGTTCTGGGAGTTCTTTTACTCCCTGAGCCCGGCCTGAGGCCAGACTTGACTTTTGATAACTTGGTCCAACAAGCTGTTGCTTGAAGCAGCCTGCAGGCCCACATATCCACTACAGCCTGTTTGGTCCGACACTTCTTGCAAGAACTTATTCAAGTTCCTCTTGAATGCATCCACCTTGTTCCAGCAATATTTCTAATGGGAGGGTGTTTAAAAGCTGTAGACCCCTAATGTTCAGACAGTGCTCCCAGATTGTGCCTCCCCCCACTCACCCGGGGGGGGGGGGGCCCTAGACCCCAGACGTTGGCTGTCACACTCCTCAGTTTGGAGACTGAGCATCAAAAACGAAACTGCCGATTTGCCTGGGAGCCTCCCGGGCTCAACAAGAAAATGGCATTCCATTACATTCAATGCTGCTTTTCTGTGAGAGCCCTTGTGGCTCTCTGGAGTTACATAACCAAAGATAAGTAAGAGAGACTTACCCAGGAGGTGGCCACACCACGTGCTTCAACTAAAAAATGAGCTAACTGGCTGCAACCGGCAGCCCAAGGTCAAACAAGAACGACTTGGATTCGGAACATTCACCAAATAACGGGCAGCCAGGGCCCTGATCGACCTCCAAAACTGCCCGTGCCCAAACGTCAGCCCAGGATATTTTCCCAAACACGGCGGCCAAAGCTGCCGTGACTGGCTAGATTTAATAACCTTATGGACAACCTGAGAGACCCAAACCCTGGAACAAGGAATGAGGGAAATTGGATCAACCCAAAGCACGTCCATGGCCACAGAAGCCGAGGCGTGCAGGTAACGGCGAAAAGCTGCAAACAACACATCATGCACCCCCTGCCTAACCAACCAAGCATTAATAACGCAAGGACTCCTCCGGACGCTCGCTGTCTTGTTCTTCGTCAGAAAAGAAGGAGACGGCTGCAACCGAACAATGTATTATAATACAGTTATTCAATTCTTTTCTTCACCTTGAAAACAACATGACTTTTGGTGAACTCCTCTTCCAACTAAATCCTGATGCAAGAGCATTAGTAAGAGGGATAGAAGCCCTAAATCAGAAAATAGTAAATACGGAATATGCTGTCATATTCAATGAGACATGCATAAAAGAAAACCTGCTGCCAATATACACCAATACATACATATATATATGCGGAAAATCCACAAAGAAATAGGAAAGGAAGATGAACGTTTCGGCTGTTTAAAACCGCTGTTTGCTCCTAGTCAGTCTGGTGTTGACAACGGCTTTAAACAGCCGAAACATTCATCTTCCTTTCCTATTACATTGTGGATTTTCCGCATACAAATGATCAGTGTTTCGTGATCGCTAATTGCACGCATGCATGCATATTTTATATATATATATAAATACTGTAATAAATTCCATATTATACTTTGGCATAAGGCCATACATGTAGAAATTTTGCTATAGCTAAGCTTACTACCTTAGTTAATTGCCTTACTAAGCCAATTAACTTACTTAAAAATACTGTACTGAACTAAAATCTCTCACAGGGGAATTAATTGCCCAATGACAATAGGGACTTTTCTTGCACCACTATACAGGTCTTAAAAATTTCACCACATATTTTGGAAACATATTTCTGACAAATCCTATAAGGTATCCTTACTGAGTATACCAATCTATGGCAAGCCTGATATAGTAGCATCTCAAAATAGTGTTTACTTACCTTAACTCGTCTGAAAGAATGAGATTTTTCAGCTTGGTACCATGTGATTTTTTCCTCTGGTGGAATGTGTCTGCAGAGAAGGCTTCTAGTAGCCAGGCACACTGGAGGGCAAAGGTGATATCATGGCGGCACAAGTGAACCAAGAATGGGTGAAGCACCTCGGCTATTTCGAATGTTTGCACATACATGTTGACCAACTGTGGTAGGAAGAAGTAAGACTCGCTTGGGGGCATGCTGAAGAGACGGTTGCCAATATACTGTTGTACTCCTGGTTCTTTACACTTGTACAAATAGGACACGGCCATCGCCATATCAAACATCTTGCTTTCAAATAATCTTAAGAGTAATGATGGCTTTTCGTCCACTATGGTCTTGAAAGAAGCACTGGCAGTAGTCGTGCTTGTGCCTACAACGGCACCGGCACAACTACTGCTGTTACTTCCACCTGCACACACACCACTAGTGTTACTCCCAGCAGTATTGACACCTTTACTGCTGCTATTTACAGCAACACTGGCACCATTATTGCTGCATTTTGGTACAGCACCTAAACCACCACTGTCAGAATTTGCAGTACAAATGGCACCATTTTTGGTATTGACCGCATAAGAACTTGCACCACTACTGCTGCTAGCTCTAAATAATTCATCACTTTGTTCTCTGAATTCAGTACCCACAAATTTTATTTTCATTTCACCATTAGGTTCCACAAGGTCTGAGGAACATGTATACCCTTCACTAAATGCTTGCAGGTCATTAAAGAGATTAGGGCGGTCACCAAGACTGGTCTCTAGAGGCGAGTCCATGCTCTCTGTCACTGTTGTATCACTAGGGGAGACATCACCTGCATCTTCAATAAGAGTCTGGTCTCCAGGGTCTCCTTCACTCACTGAATCTACCTCTGGCTCTTCCATGTTTGTTTCACTATCTAAAGTTTCTGAATAAACACTTTTCACATCACAATCAGAACCAAGACATCCACCATCTATGCAGTCTGCACTTTGTGCTCGTTCTGTACTTGGTTCCCTTGTATTGTCCCCCTCAGAGCTGCAGATGCCGGAATCATCCGAACCCAGGCTGGACTGGTCGTATCGATCCTTTTCTCGCTTGACCACCACAGGATGACCAACAGTTGAGGTTGTCAATAATGCTCTAGTGCGACAGGGATCACTTTTCAACTTAAAGCTTGGAGCATCAGAAAATGTAAAGGAAAGACTGGGTTTGAGGGGAGGGTTGTTGACAGGTGGGTGCTGGGGAGCATCTCCACCCTCTACCTCAGGAATCTTCTGCAATACAGAGTCCAGGCTGCGGTTTCTCTGGTGAGACCCACTGTATGTTAAAGCTGGCAGAGGAGGCAACACAATACCCATAGACCTGAAAATCAAAATGTTTGATTAAGTTTATGAACATCATAATCTACAAGTAAGGTTAATGACTTGACAACAGCAGCACTGTGGATACAGTATTATATATACAACAAACATTTTCTTAATTACACACCCAACATGAAGAGAATTAGGCTACTTTTGGTCTTTGGGTCATTATCTGAATACAGCTAAGAACTCAAAGAAGCAGATGGCCAGATTAGTAAGGAATTTGGTACCAACACTGAGTTAAGAATCGAGAAATAAGTATTGTGAAAGAACAGGAGTTCTGGAAAATGTTTGCTTTTAGATTTGGACAGAACATTAGTTGTGGATATTACTTAACACTTTCGCGCTTTCGATTAGAGATAACTCGTCACTGGTTTTTCTTACGATTCCGCATAACTGCTTACTTTTCTCGTCAATCGAAAAAATATTTCTATAAATTCCATTTTTTAACCGAAATGGATGGGGATACTCTCAGATTGTTCTCCATGAAATTCCCGTTCTCCCTCACCGAACACATGGCATCTCGGCCTACCCGGTCACGTGGTTGGCCCATTGTTTTGTTGACACGCCAAGTGCCCACAATGCGCTCCCCTCTCGCGGCAAATGTGACCCGTTTTACGCATTTATTTCCGTTCCGTTTCCGTTCTCGTGTACCTAAAACCCATTCAATACCTTCAACATGGATGCTGCACCAGGAACAAGCAGTGGAACGCAAAACAAAGGTAGGAAATCTAGGAAAGCAGAAGAGATCGCCAGGATTTTCGATCTGTATCGTGGGGTCAATCTCACTCCATCCAAGATTCCCGACGTTGTTGAAGCCTTTTCAGGGTCTTCTGATGATGATTTGGAGGCTGACGAACCGGAAAATGATGTTCTTTATGAGGTTTCCTCAAGTGATGAAGATATTTCGAGTGAGAGTGAGGATGAGAGTGATGAAGAAGCCCCAGCCCCGCCACGCGGTAACCGCACGTGTCCGGTACCAAAGAGGGCTAGGCTGGGTGATGAGTGGAATCGTAGCAATACTCCTCCCATCGTTGATGACTTTACTGCAACCCCTGGCCTAACAATTCCACTACCTGCTACTCCATTGCAGTTTTTACAATTATTTTTCACTAGAGCAGTGGTTGAATACTTAGCGTATGAAACAAATTTGCATGCCACACACGTCATACATCTCATGGCTGAGTCAGCAAGAAAAACGTGGAAACCAGTGTCGGTGAAAGAAATGGCCCGATATTTGGCCCTGTGCATACTGATGGGCATAGTGAAGATGCCTACAATGAGGATGTACTGGCAGACGAATCAGATGTGGCATTGTCGATTCTTCAACTTGTTTATGTCGTCTGCTCGGTTCCAACATATTTCTAAGTTCTTCCACATGTATAACAAAAAAGGCGTTCCAGTGAATAATAGTGACCGATTGATAAAAGTTAGACCACTAATGGACTATTTTTCAGAAAAATTTGAATCTGTATATATCCCCAAAAAAGAATTGAGTCTCGATGAGGGTACAATGGCTTGGCGAGGCCGCCTCTCTTTCAAGGTCTACAATCCCAACAAGCCTGATAAATATGGTGTAAAATTTTATATGTTGGCCGAAGGGAAATCAGGCTACATATATAAATTTGATGTGTATTGTGGAATTGGAAAAACGACAGTGGAAACCGTGATGGGGTTGATGGCGCCCCTAGTCAACAAGGGTTATCATTTGTATATGGATAAACTACTATAACTCGGTAAGCCTAACAGAACAATTACGTGAAGTGGGTGTTTACACATATGGCACACTTAGACTCCAATGTGGCGCCCCCAAGGATCTGCAACAAGTTGTAAAGGGTAAAATGGCAACCGACACGACCCTATACATGCGTAAGGATAACACCTTTGTTATAGTTTGGAAGGACAAGCGCCCCGTCTCTGTCATCACCAATATCCACAATGCCGACACTACTCAAGCACAGCGCAGGAAACGCGTTCGTAAAGGTGACGGGAGAACTGGAGTAGAAATTGTGAAAATGAACAAACCCAAGGCCATAGTGGATTACAATAAGTTCATGAAAGGTGTTGATCATTTTGATCAAATGGTCAAATATTATGAGTTTGCAAGAAAAACCCACAAATGGACCAAGAAGATCACTTTCTATTTTCTGCAAATGGCCATGCACAATGCATACGCATTGTATAACCACTACTCAACAGATACAAAAAAACTAACACTATTAGAGTTTCACGCAGTAGGAATAAAAGCCTTATTGGCGTGGAACAGCAAGGAATGGCCAACAACAACAAGTATACCACATGTTCCCGACATAGATGCCAGCGCAGCTGCGCCTGCTGATGCGGCAGTTTCAACACCTGGGCCATCTGGTGCGAGGCGTCCTCTGTTCACTTCAACACCTAAAGCCCACTCATCAACCACAAATTCTGAAATGGACATTGAGGACATAGAACCACTTGATGTTTCTGATTTCATAGAAGATGAAAATCTACTACAAGTTTGGTGGTTCCTGTAGAAGACAATATTCTTCCAGTGAATCCAAAAAATACAAGAATTATAGATTCAGAACAACGTCTCAACTACAAGTTGACGCATGAACTCGTGCACTTGGCTAAAAAAAAAAGATGCCGTGTTTGTTACAAGTCTGGCAAAAGGAGGGACGTGATATATGGATGTAAAACTTGTGATGTGGCACTGTGCGCTGCGCCTTGCTACACAAGGTACCACCGAAAAAAGATATTTTGGGTGGAGAAAAAATAACCACCGGCAACAGCTTCACTCCACCTAAGAAACATCAGATGAGCAACTTCAGGATCAGAAGCCTGAAGATGGTGGAGTGAAGAAAAAATGCTCAACTGTTGATCTTCAATCAACATAGACAGGGTAAGTACACCTATTTTGAATTTTTTATCATCTATAAGAAGTTATATTATATACGTTTTGTAGAGAATTTATTTGCAAATTTTTTGGTACCAGATTGATTATTATATCACAAACTTCTATGAGTAAAAAAAAAAACACAAAGTATGTTTGGGGGTGTGGCGGGTGTGGCTCTGGGTGTGGCGGTCGTGTGGCAGTGGGTTCCCTTTAGCCGTTGATATATCCAACACGTGGGAAATATTTGTATGTGTTATGTATATGTCTGTGTAGGGAATTTTACTGCGATCACTGTCATACAAATTATAAAATGTTTCAACAAGTATAAACATGACAAACATCAAACGAACGAAAACAATGCGTTCGTTTCTGCCGCGAACGCATACTGAGCGACGTGGTTCTATATTTGGCGCTTCTCTTACTTCTCTTAATGTTATACAGTTCATCTTATAGAAAATTTTATTGCGAACACATTGGTATAAAAAAGAAATACGTACATAGAAAAGTAGGGTCAGGAAACGTATAAATGTATAAACTTTCCAAGCATGATTTCCCCCCTGTGTTTTCGCCAGTGCGCTCGCGGCTAACTACTCTCCACTTCCCACACTCTTGCGGGTGGGCAATTACCTATATTAAACATTCATATGCATATGTCCGTGTAGAGAATTTTATTGCGATTCCAATGATACCAAAATTACCGATGTAGGACAACTGTAGGCTTCGCAACCATTAAGAGAGTGGAAACATTTTGTTGCTGTTTGGCGCTCTCGGCGAGTGATCTGCATAGTTTTTTATTTGGTGTTGATACTCCTTATGCTTGGGCGGCATTTTATAGGTATGCTCTTATAGACAATTTCATTGCGAACACAGGGATATCAAATTTAAATACGTGCGCCTTCAATTATTGTCAGGACAGTCAAAAGAGTGTACACTTTTTCGGTCTTACGCGTAGGCGCGCGAAGTGCCGAAAGCATCTAGGGTATTGATATTTTTTGAGCACCGAGAGCGCGAAAGTGTTAATAATTTTAAGGACATTTTCAAATATATTTACATTTTGTTATACAATGTGTGAATGAATGATGATAAAACATGATCCAACACCTCTTAAAAACATAATAAATATTGCAATGTCTAAATAATATTTTGATAAATAAATTTCCTTTGATTTGGGCAGCCTCAAGGATATATAAGAAAATTGTTTAACTTAAGACAATAATACTAAAATACTTAGGGAGCTGAAATGGGAGATACAGCACTTAAAAATGATGATGAATTGTTTAAGAAATTGAGTGCACTAAGTATGTGCACTTTTGTAAGGCAAGATATGGATATTACATGCTAAAATTACATTATACAACCCAAAACCGTACACCAACATAGATGAAGAGGAGTGGGATACTTATTGGTAGATAGCATCAGCATGAAGGAATATCGTGATTGTGTGAGGCAGCGAGATAACTAAATTGTCCTAACAGGAGCAAGTCAAGACTTACTAAGAATAATACAGATTACAATTACAGTACTTTTCTATCTGCCCAAATGAGGGGAAATGGAGATTATGCAATGGCTATTTACCATAAATATTACATTTATTCATTCATCATTCAGTATTATTACCCCATTCCCCACAAACATAGGGTGAGGAGGTATCAAGCTGGAGAAAAACAATGGGAACACAGTGTATTGAAAGTTACTGTATAGATATTAAAGAAAAATATCACTTATTCATTTAATAGTGTTTGTTTTAACTTTTCTATACTAGCCATTACAAGAATATCAGAGCCTTTATTTTTTATGCAGGGCATTACATCTGTACATGGATTGTACCTGGATGGTGTTCTGGGAGTTGTTCTACTCCCAAGCCCAGCCCAAGGTCAGGCTTGACTTGAGTGAGCTTGGTCCAACAGGTTGTTGCTTGGAAAGGCTAGCAGACCCACATATCCACCACAGCTCAGTTGCTTCAGCACTTCTTGAAGAAAACTATCCAGTTTTCTCTTGAAAATGTCCACATTTGTTCCGGCAATATTTCTTACACTCGCTGGAAGGATGTTTAACAACCATGCACCATCTTGAGGTTATCTTGAGGTTGATAACTTGTTATCTTGAGGTTGTTATCTCACCATAAC